GCCGCCGGGTGGCGGGCGGGGCCACGGCTTCTCCTCCACCTGCCCCCAGGGGTTTAACTCGGGGAGCGTGCCGCCACCGGCCCCCGCTCCGGGACGCATGCCATCGGGCAAAAGGCTCGCCCTCAGAGGGGCGGCAGGAGGCCCCGCAGCCCAGCCGGCTCGGAGGTGGCTCTCCCTGCATGTTCTCAGAAGGGAGGTGACGGAGTTGTCCATTCCAAACAAATTAACACACTGCCTGATGTTGATTGTATGAATTTGTGGTTAATGTGAATTTTAAACTCTTAACAAATCTACAACTGGATTCTTGGGGGGAGGGAGGGGATAGAATGATGCTTAAATTGTTGTACCCAACTCGGTCAATAAAGCAGCACAAGTTCATAATCTTAATCACTGGTCAGTAAACAGTAATTAAAACGTATGCCAAAACAACTTTTTGAGGAAACGCACAGTATAAAATACGCTTTATGAAGATTATCAACAGGTCTAAGGGTTGCAGAACCAGTTCTGGTCATTTTTGGTTGCTTTGGACTATTACCAAATTAGCTCCTTGGGCTTAAATTTTCTGTAATGGTACTCTGCCTTCAAGGAGACAGCCTGATCCAGAGTTTTGGCAGTTTGACAAGGGAGAGGATGCAGAAGGCTTTTCCTTTTTTTTTCTCTTCTTTTTTTGCTTTTAAAAAAAAATCTAAGAAGTATTAATACTTTAGCTATGTGCACTTTGAATTGGGAAATGCATTGTACACCTTTTGCCAGATTTGTCTGAGTCTCAAGCAGATGGCCAGGATTTATGGGCTCTCGTAGTTCAGGTGCTTGTTTCAGAACAGGCTCCTTGTGTTGCATCTACTGACCAGAGCTTCACCTGGGGCACGAACAAAACACGGTTTGCACACAGCAAGGCTGTGCTCGGGCCTAAAGCAAATGACCTTGGCAATGGTGGTGGGAACACAGAGGTGAAGCATTACTAATACCTCTTCTTCCACAAAACGGGGTGACTTGTGTTCTGTCGACTGTTTTGAAACAAGGTGTCTTTCATTGCCCTGAGGGACAAGGATCAATGTCTCGTGTTGTGTAAAGCAGAGAAATGGTATTTGGTTCTGCACCACATACTTAGGAGAAATAAAGCCCCTTAGTAGTCTGTCTAAGCGCTCTAGAAATGCCTAATTTAATCTTCATTTTCATGGATATAGGTCTCTTTAATTAAACTTTTTTTCCCCTTTGGCTTCTCGCCTTCAGTCTCTTGACTAAATATGTGAAGATCTCCTTGCCTTGTTTGCTGAACGAGTTGGAAGGTGTGTATGAAAAACTAAAACATGATGGCACAGCAATGGAAAGACTGACTCTGGGACAACTGGGTGTTGTATCTGTCTTAGCTGAAGTCTAACTTTTTGATGTACAATTTGCAGTAATTAAATGCTTGGGGTATGGGAGCAGCTCCTAATCAGACAGACTTCTCATGTGTCTGGTTTGATAGAGCTAAAACATGGGCGATATTGGTTGTGCTGTTCAGTCGATGGTGTCCGTTGGTTTCACAGCTGTACAGTATCAAATCTGGGAACATAAGATCTCTTGTATTTGTTATTTTGTTCCTTTTTTTTTTTTTTTTTTTTTGTTTGTATTCCCCATGTATAATGTAAAGATATGTGTTATCTCACAGCAGCAAGGAGCAGATGAATGCAGTCCTGTTGAAGACTCCATTTAAAAGTTAACTTTAGGCAAGTTCTGGATTTCATGCCTTAAAGATGTGGTACTTGTATGTGGATTTAACCTTGGTCTTAAGGAAGACTTGAGAAAAAAAAAAAAAAGATTAAGGTCTGTAATGCCCTTATTATGACAGTTCTTGATTTTGAGGTTTCTGTTTTAGTTTCATTCCTTGTTGTTTAGAATGACATGTGAATCTAAAGCTAGTGCAGCAACGTGGTTCTGTTAAATTTGTAAATTTGAATTGGTTTGAGTGTCCTTTGCATGCAGGAATAGATAAGTAGTTGATATATTAAAAAGAACAACTAGGAAACGGTCTCTTGGAACCTGGTTATTTAGGCAGCACTCTAGCTGTCTTAAAGGTGAATAGTCTGTGACTCCTGCTGATGGAAGACATGATCTGTTTGGCTTTTGGATTTCCTTTTGCTGCAGAATTCTTTTCCTTGAAGTAATCTCGCTGAAGGTGCTTCTGACTTGCCTGTCACATGAGGGAGGAGCATTTTGAGACAGGTGCCTGAGAACTTGCAGCCAGTTTCCATCAGAATGATTTCTTGGCAGTTTTGTAATTTGTAGTTGATACAGGACTGGAGGAGCAGGAAGGTGAAGTCTGTATGCCTTGGAAAATTTGAAATTGCTTCTTAAAAGTACAAAAACTCTATGAAGTCTTAACTGGCTGCTACAGTCTGTAGCTCTCCCAAACAAACCATAGCTGTGAGGGAAATCCACTCATGGGGGGGGACAGGTTAAATAAATAAATAAATCGACGTTACTGCTGTACAGGCATCTGGAATGAGCGTATTTTACTGAAAGTGCCTTCAGGTGGAGGAGCAGCAGACTGAGCAGCGAGTGTGCGATGCTGTAGCTTTCCTAGGGAACTATCACTGGAGCCAGGTACGCTTCCAGGACAGCACCACATCCCGGAGCCGTAAGCAACGGGAACAGGCTCCCGAAATGACACAGAGCCATGACTGAAACCCAACCGTTCGTAGCATAAGGAGGAGCTACAGCTCATGTGATGGCACAAAGCATGTGGTAAAGAATTTGGCAATAAATTTTTGAAATGACACACTTCTAGATTATAAGAATGTAATAGCATTTCAGATTCTTTTAAATGACTGCAAGATATTAATTGGCATTAGTATCTCTCCACGGCTCTCCCCTGCTGGGTGTGAAAATGCAAACTGAAGTGACTGCATTTCCTAGAAACAGGGTCCAATCCACTTCACTGGGATGGCCAGTGGCTAGATGACAATGGCTTTCCCCTAGAGGCAGCTGCAGAATTGCTTTTCCGTGCTGCTTCCAGTAGCTTGTTCTATGTGCTAACACACCGTGCTGGGAAGGTGCTGCCTGTTCCAGCCCTGGGGAGATGGGCTCCAGGTCATGAGCAGCTGTCAGAAGGTCTGACAGCTGGGGAAGCTGTGCTCCACCCAGTGCACCAGCACGTGGTGCTGTGAGAACTGCTGCCAGTGACCTGTAGCACCGGGCTGATGAAGGCTTTTAAACACCTGCAGATGAAAGGGCTGTTAACACACCAGCCACTTGGAAACCCCAGTCTTCTGGTATTCTCTGCCATGCTGTTGGCACTGGAGTTTCACTTTTGGTATCCGATACTAATGAAAGGGGAAAAGTTCAGTAATTTGCTTCCGTTTTAGTGAAGAGCAGAGATGAATTAAAAGTCAGATTGTACTAGAAGTGGAGTATTTGACATTATCAAAGTATTTCAGTATTCCAAGGTATGTTTTTCTATTCTAAGAGGGGGACTTTCCCATTGTCTAGGTTTTCTGGCTGTCCTGCTCAGTGTACCACTAGGCTGATGGTGTCATAGTCACTGTAAAGTAACAAATGCCAACGAAGTATTCCAGCCTAGTTGTGCACCTGCCCTATTCTAGAGCGGAATGCTTCCAGTGCTGTCACTGTAACTGGAAGGCACAGGACACATTCATCGAGCCTCCATCTGCAGTAGCTCCTTAGGTGCCCATATTTCTAAGTGTACACGTTGTTTCTTGGCTACGGCCTAATGTTACTGTTTCAGACTCAGAGGCAGCTTTGAGGTGAGCAGACAGATGGGTACTGCAGTGAAGCTGAGGGTGGCTGTGGTGAGGGTAGACTGCGTGGTGTGACCACTGCTGTGTTTTCTGTGCAAAATACCAGTTGAAGTAGAGATCTTGCTGGAGCGCAGAAGCATGATGGTATTTTACATCCTGCTCTTCAGATTTATTGTTCTCAGGAATCTGATCACCTGATGCCTGTGCACAAAGCCCCCAAAACAACAGCTTTCACTATCCTACCTGAAATGAAACAGGCTGCATAATAGACTCTACTACAGCTATGAATGTACTGAGGCAGATGAGCAGACCCTTGCTCTGAGAATGTTTTCTGTCTTTGATCAGGTGGTGTAAACATTTTATTCAGGTTATAGCTTGTACAGCTTCTTATAAGTCCCTCTTATTTTGACATCGGTGAGTACAGGAATACCAGGTGACAGCAGTGCTGAGCTCTTCTGGGGAACCTTACCCCTTTCATCTGAGCAAGCTGCAGCCAGAACTTTCTGTTTGTGTCCATCTGGCTTTGATCTGTCTTTGTGGAGGTTGAGAGCTGACTCTAAACCAAGATGTGCAACATACTGAGGTGTAGCTGTTGATCTTCTGGCAAGGTGCTGGAAGCAGTCTTAGAAGGGCTTTTACCAAATATCCCCCACATATAAAATGGTGATGAATTATTGCACAGAGCAGTAGCAGAAATTCTGTACTTCAGAATTTGCACATGCATGAGGAATACAGACCTTCCCGTGGCACGTCAGACCAATAAAACACATAGTTGGGTTTTATCAAGTTTTATTTAAAAAAACGCTTTCTAAAGTATCAAACATATCCAAGGCCTTTTCCTGCATTTCCTTGAAAAGTCCTCTGAGATGCTGTATGATGGGTGATGTGCAACAGTTGGCCATCCGTGATGTTCAACTAGATTGTCTCCCTTCCGGAGCTGCGTGGGTGCTGCCCGTGTAGACCCAAATGAAGCACACCAACTGCAGGCTAGAGACCTTTCTTTCCATGAAACGGACCCGGCACACCTAGGACTTCCAGGTGTAAGCATAGTCCTTCATTTCCAGAAAGCGGATGGAAGATTTTCCCAGTGTTGGACACTGACTCAGCTGATCCAAAGTCTTAGGATGCAGTCCACACAAAGGAAGATCTTGGCGTATGGTTTCCTGCAGAAATTCACACGAAGGAGAGAGACGTGGAATAGGTATTTCTGTTTGAAATACCTGTAGTTCTTAACATTCACTTATGTATCTCTGGGGACCTCCCAAAAAGCTAGATTTCCCACGATTCTGTTTCTGAGGGAACGAC